CCCCTTCCACCAGCTGTATATCTTGTTATTCCTTGAAATTGCATGCCCACGTGGGGAGTCTGGCCTTGAGATAAGTCTCTGCTTTTTTCATCTCAGTGTCTGGGAATGGCCCACCTTCCTTGGCCCCCTCCCATGCCACTCCTTCATCTGATTCTTCTGGTGACCCACCAGCAGCCCTTGAGAAAGTGTGCTCAAAGCTGCCAGCTTTCTCACTTTGAAAAGTGACTAGCATGGTCATTTGTTCGTAATAACTCAGTTTTTAAAAAATGGGTGGTTCTTGCATTTGAAATTGGTCTAAATGTCCCTTGTCAGTTACGGAAATTCTCTAAAACTACAAACCAATAAAACGACAATGGTTATGGTTACACCCGCCTAGGCAGGGTCTAGACAGCCATTGTGTTTCTGAAACCCAGCTACAAGAAATTGCTCCAACCTCATAATGAGGGACCTGTACTTGGATCAGACTCCAGGTTAGAAGTCAGAACAGACTTGGAGAAGGGCATTTGGGGTGTCCCAGTGTGTGGGAAAAGGAGGAGACTGGCACCAGCAAGGTACAAGTTATCCTAGCAGTGCCCCAGCTTCCTTCAGTTCTGCTTTGAAGCACCTCACTTAGATGACTGAATGTTTTGTAGAATAATAGAAGGGTGCAGGTGACCTTCATCTTTTCCACATCTCCAATCCTTAGTAGGGTTCTCATAATACTCCCTGATCAGAGGGTTCAAGGCATCTCTGTAGGATTGCACCCTAAACTGTTTCATGCAGAAGTATATTAGAATACTTCTGTTAATTCAATCCCTTTACAGCCAGCTTGAAATTTATGTATTTATTTATTACTTATTTATAAGTAAATTAATACAATGCAATTAAATAGGCAATGTAAGAGTCACACTGGCAATTGATAACTATTTGAAGACTCTTCAGTTTAGAGGGAAAGCAATGCCAACAATTATTAATAGCCATGCAATTTTATTTTTAAAGTGCAAAGCGTTTGTCAGAAACTGCTTCTAGAGACCACTTGTTGTTGTAGAATGTCTATTTTTAAATAGGTTTCACAGTGTAAGCTAAGAGAAGTGGCTTATACTAATGCTACAGCAGGAGTCTCCAAACTCAATATGTAGGGAATTTCAGAAACTTCTGTAGGTACCATAAAATGCATAATCAGCAGATCAGTGTTTTGACACCTACCTACATGTTAGGTGCTATCTAATTCAACAAAACTTTTTGTTGTATATTGTTTGGATACTGCAACCTCTCTGTAAGGAGGGATTTAATTCAGCTGTTTGGTGGTAGCACAGCATAACTAATGCATCTTTTAAACATGGTGTTTGCCGATGTTAAATAGTTGCTTCATTTTGAAAGGAGGTTATTAGATAAATGTTGCAGTGGAACACTGATATGTATGCTCTTTTACATAATTTGCCTATTTCATGTAAATTAACAAATGGAAGGGAAAATGGCTTCTCTTCATGCTTTTGATGGCTACAAAATATTTGATGGCTACTGATATTACAAAATGGAAAGGATAAAAGTTCACCTTTTATAATGCAGTGAATTGAGCGCTTTACACTTTTTGGAATATGAATGGCTGGCATATAGAAACATGTCAAATAGCCACTTAATTGGATATTTGGTCTGCTTTTGTTGAAGCCTATGTATAATTGCTAGGAAGTTGTATGCATTTCATACAATTGATGTGCATTTATTAAAATGAAGGAAGAAAACAATATAAAATTTATATTGGGTATCCTTTTGTGGGCACAATTTGAGCACTGAGAGCCTTGACCTTATTACAGGGTTTTAAAGATATCTGAACTTTTGCTATCTGTTTAGTGTTTGAAGTGCTACAAGACTTTTTATTGTGTTTGTTGCAGCAGACAAAATTTATGTATTCTGAAAATTAATAAATAACTGCTAGATCATAGTTTGATTATTGGGGATGTTCCTTGGTCTCATGTATTTCCTTCTTCACTTGTGCACTCAAATTCCCTCCTGCCCTTTCTGCCCTAATTAGAGCTTAATCAGGCACATGTTTTGCCTCCAAACCACAACTGGAAAAAAGTTGGAAGTGCAATGATGACTTGGGCAAACTGGAAAATGGAGGAAGGAAGTTATTGAAATGTGCATGATGGGGAGCCTGAGGCATAGTTCCAAAGACCAAATCATTGTTTGGTTTTTATGTGCGAACCAAACACATCTAGAGCTTATACCAAAATAAATTGGTTTATCTTTAAAGTGCCACAAAGCTCTTTGCTGTTTTTGCAATGCATATTATACAGCTACCCTCTGGAAATAAAATACATATGTATTTTAAACAGAAATTGATTACATAGTGAGTATGTGCCTTAAAAGATTTGCACAGTGTTTGCAAGAATATAATATGACTTTTATATAATGCAAATAATGTAGTGACAAGATAATGGGTTGAAGAGAGAATATTGTAGTGGACACAACTACATCAGAGGTGTTGAAGCCTCTGGCTGTTCAGATGTTGCTGGGCCCTTTGACCTCTGAAAAGGAGACTCTGGAGGTTTGGGGGCACCCTCCACAACAATGTGGGATGAGGCAAGACATTCCTTCTGTGAAATTCCTAAAGTTACTTTAAGATCCGAGTCATAGTGACTTGACAGAACTGGTCCACATGAACCAATTGTCTGACTCAGTGTAAAGCATCTTCTAATGTTTCTTTGACTAAAATCACAAGGTGGAGGAGTTAGTTAGGACAGAAAGAAAACAGAGGAATACTTGTTTTGGGGATACCAGAACTCAGGGATGTAAACCTTAAGATTCCTAGTAAATTCACAGCAAAGGATGTTGAGGCAGTAACTATAACCACATCTTTTTAATTACCATTAATTTGCTTTTATGGCTGGTAGATACCAAGGCTAAGTGACAAGAATAGCAGAAAATTCTTAATCTGGGAAAGGGATGAGGTAATCGGTTATCTCAGGTCTATATCTTAACAAGATCCCTCCATGGTCAAGGGAGCTTAGTGAGATCTTCTGTCATTTCTTAGTTTCACAGGTTGTGCCTGGTTTTAACTGCAACTGGCATTAAATTTGAAGGGAACAGTTTCTCTTTACCCTTTGGAATTTCCCCTAAAGGATCACTGGTCTTAACTTACTTTTAGTTTGCTTCAGAACAAAGCTGCTTTTATCTTTATGCAATCTCACATATAGGTTCTGCACCTGCATTCTGGGAAACTGCTATAGCTAGAGCTTTGGTGGGCATCCCACCCCTATCCTCCAGCCACAAACTCCTTCTTCGTTTCTCCCCAGCCACCACATTGAGAACATCTAGGTAATGCTATTTAAAACACAACAAAGTAACAAACTGTTTTTACATTTATTGTATTCTTTCTATCCTCCCTATTATTTAATCTTCCTATTTTGTGGTTTCTTCTTTTATCTTTTGGCTTTTAGCATTTTTTTTTCTTACTGCACATTTATTTTGTGTGCTTGTGGCCAAGAAGGTTGGTTTTTTCCACAGGTGCTTGACAGTGGCAAGCTTCTGCCTCCTGAGGTTACAAACAGAAGCCATACTCTTTTATTACTGTGGCTGGTGGGAAATACATTATGTTGATACGTGTAGGCTCAAAGTTTGGGTACTTTTAGGGGACAGGCAAGAAAAAATCCAGCATCCTGTCAAAGAATCCTCCCTTGGAGTGAGCATCGGAGGTTTCAGATTCAGGTACAGCGAGTTCCCGGCTAATTACAATTTCCTCTGGCTTTGCCAAGGTATTATTGGAAAGAGTGTGCAATAGTCAGCTCTTACAGTATTGTGATCACTTGTCTCATTAGCAGACTCACTACCACCTGTCTCTCTCAGCACTCTTGCTGCCCCTAGCACAGGGGTCTAAATTGCTGATTAAGGTGAAGCAAACATTCACAGTGCAAATGGATTTGATTTTGGTGGTGATGAAGTTCTTGTTACTAATGCAGTAGACTTGCATCTAGATCATCATGTATTGGGGTTGGCCTTGTTTTCTCCCATTGCTGCAGTTTTGTAGGAATTTCCATTACATCCTCCTGCCTCTGAAGGGGAAGTTATTGACCTCATTCCAGATTACTCTGTCCCAAGTAGTCTGTCTTAAAATAATGGCCTGTGCTGAGTCTTAGTCTCACTTCCGTTTCCCAAAGTTCACTCCCCATCCTCTTTGCCAGTCACCAACAGACTGATAGTACTACATGATAGAACTTGGACTTAACAAGCATACAGGAAAAGAGATGGTTTATAGTCCAATAAATCGTTGATTCTAAGAGATCTTCCTTGAGTATTGAATCCTAATTCAGTATATAATTTCCTGAAGGATTGATTTAAAATTAGGTTTTGGATGACTTTCAGTAGCATGAAATAAGAGGACTGTTACAGGTTTCCCTGAAACCAGATATTCTGTCTGACGTGTATTATTTTGGTAGGGCGGGATGCTTAATGTTTGTGAGCTTACCTTTAAGACTTTTCAAAGTAACACAGCTTCTAAAGTGTTCAGTACATTATAAATTGGAAAGAAAGGGAAGTGCTTCTACTTTCTTTTTGGAGTGCGAGCCACATGGATGTGGCATGTAATGTAAAGAAAGACTTCTCATGCATTGTATTGGTAGATACATGTGCAGAACTAATCTTAATTGGCAGTGCCAACCATTAACTTTACTTCTCAGAATATTAAATCTGTAATAGTTGTTCATAAATTTCTAGGAAGAGTTTGGCATCTGTTTTGTTGTTCATATTAATTTTGTTTTAATTTTACCTTTTTTAAGATTTGTGAATGCCTATTTGCTTTTAAATTATATTCCTGGGTCATTGTGACCAACAATGTCCCAATAGTGACAAATAGTGATAGTGGATTTGGTAATAACTATTGTGAACTGATTTTTGTCGCTGTTATTTTCTGTTAAATAAGGAGAGAGGAAAAAGAATCACTGAATTTTCAATATTTAATATATCTTGGTTCTTAAGTTGTGATCAACTCAAGTTCATATTTCTATTTGTTTTTATCTTCCCAGTCAAAATGTTATGGTGAGAAACTGCTGACAGAAGTATTTAATCGTTTGAATTTGGTTGAATCGGACTACTTTGGAATTGAGTTCCAGAACATGCAGTCATGTTGGGTATGTAACATGTCTCTATCTGAATGTAAAAGCTTTTGAATGGATTTCCTTTTTTAACATTTATTACAGTCAAATTTTTGTCAGATTTTCCTTTAGTGTGAAAATTGACTGTAATAGGGGAAGAAAAGCTGCATCCAAATGGCATAGTTGTTCTGTTAATCATAGCTCTGCTCAGTTCTGTTGAATGCTTCATTTCTGCTCCTTCCATATTTGAAGCAAACACTTCCCACTCTGCATGAATATGGTGTTTATTGGGCATGCTGACTGGGGATGATGAAATTTGTACATGGTTAATTAATAAGGGACGCCAAGAGCCCTTGCGTGTTACACAGCTTCATTGTGAATACTCTAATGTCTTAGGGCACAATCCATGCTTGTTTCGACAAGAAATGTTGTACAGTTCTCAGCATTCTCCGGTGAGAAGTACTGGCTGGGGAATTTGGAGAGTTGAAGGACTTGTTTCTGTCTACAAATGTATAGAATCGCACCTTTAATCAGATGGCCTCTGGATGTAGTATTCTGCAATCAAAGCACAGATGTCTAAAAATGCAAATGACTCTGTACAGATTCATTGGATCTCCTGCTGCAGCAACATACTTTGAAAAATACAATTTTGTAGGATGTGAGGTTTTTTTAAAATCTTGCCATTGAAATGTATTGAATACATTTTCACTTATGTACCTGTTGTAATATATTTGATGGAAGAATCTGCATGTTTAAGTGACATTATAAGCTTTTTGTAAAGTAGTCAGCTTTCCAGTTGACTACAAATTGCCTGTACTTTTTAACAAAAATGTATGTGACTGTCTATGGTGGCATGCCAGCTGCTTTCACAGCAGCTGAAAAAGGTCTGTGAAGTTATTCTTGAAGCTTACAAGAATATATGCTTTCATAAGTTGAAAGAGAACCAAAGAGAAATTCAGTCTAATCTTTGGCACTGTCAGAATTCCCTGTACCATAACTATCCTGTGCAAATTTTATTCAGTCACTTCTTTGAAAGCTCAAGAGAGAGTTTGTGTAAGTTCCTTGAGTCATGAACCCCATGGCACAAATGTTCATATAGCGAGTTCCCCCCCTTAGATTGATCCAAAATGCACTTTGCTGAAACTAGAAATCATTTGTTGAGTTGATTCTTTCATTATGTCATTCTGTATATTTCTGCAGTTATATTTCAAGACTTGTTTGAATTTATTTTATTTTTTTTGGTTACTCAGGTTTGGCTTGAGCCAATGAAACCTACCATTAAGCAAATACGAAGTAAGTTTATATACTTCTTTTACATTCTTTCTTTCCAGAACTAAATTTTGAGTTGATATATAGCTTTTGTTTATGCTATTATTAGAGATTATGTTCTAGAAAATTGAAGGAGGCAAAGATAACCCCCCATGCATTACACAGTCTCATTGTGAATACGCCAGTCTATGAGGTTGGAGAATATTCATATCACTGAAACTATTTTAAATCAGTTTTGCAAATGAAATTCCCATTCACTAACATTCAACAAATTAATTCCATACATTTCTGAAGTTTGGAGGAGTTAATTATCTTTCAGTTACTCGTGTCCCATTTTTATTACAATTATTACAGCAATAAAATGGGTTACAATTAAAATAAAAATGCAGAAGAATTAAATCCAGCACTTAACCATGGTGAAGTAAAAGATCAGCCTTGTTCCACAGACCAATATTTGTTTTCTGGCTGCAGCCATTTTAATTCAACCTTGTAAACCACAGTCAATTTCACTTTGTTTAACTGCTTAAATATGCCCAGCCTCCCACACTCACCAGCCCACTTTACTTCTCTTTGTTCTACAATGCTTCAGGCTCCCAGCTTTTGCCCTGATTAATTCTTTTAATCCTTTACTTCCTACCAGTTAATAGTTTCCAGAAGCTACTAGCAGCTTGGATAATGAATATTCCTGTCTGTATTTGGGATCTCTTTTGTCGTCTAAAGGTTGGGCTTGGAACTGACTGTGTGTATGTCCTGCAAACTATACTGCATTATAGTTATGGAATTTGATGGATGCTGCTTAGGCTGTACAATCTAGCTAGTTTCAGGATTGAATCAGTATTCCTCAGTTGCTTTTTGGTTTTAGTGCCTTATGTATTCATAAAGTTACCTGATAGTGAGGCAGTGAGTTGCTTGCATATCTGATTCACCATTTTAAAGATTTGCACTGTCAGTCTCTTGATATTTATTTACTAACATCTTGTAATGTTTTTAACATATTTCAGTGGAAAACTAATCGGGGTTTTTTTCAGTAAATGGATGACTTGTTAGTTGTAAGAAAATAATAAGATGGGCTAAAAACTCTCAACTTTGAGGTACCTCAGTTGCTGTTACCGAGTTGCATGACATGGAAACCCACAGTGGATTAGCATGTTGTGTGAACCTGGCCCACTTTCTGGCTTATTTATCCCCAGCTTCTCTCAAGTGGAGAACTGTGAGCCAAAGGGAGTAGGAAGTCAAGGTGTTCCTGAAACTTGGAAGCCATAGCTGTTCTGAGGAGGAGCAGCAGGGAGAAATGGGTGTGACAGATCCAAGGAAGAGAAGAATAGCAAAAACTAATAAGTGGTTCCAAGTGGTTGGCATTACAAATCTAAGAACTGCCTTGAAGACTTGGTTTTAAGACACCATTTACTGAGAAAGGAATTAATCAGTCTTGAATAACTTGGACTCAACTTTCAATCTGATTGCATTACGTTTATTAACCAATTCTATGACAAAGAATTCTAACCAATTCTTTATTTTTTGTTATTGATCTTTGCAGAGCACTTTAATCTGTAATCTGAAGCTAGTTTTGATTAGAATAATAATTTCTTTGCTTAACTGCAGAGGAGGAGGGAGGGAGGAAGCCTTGACATGGGCAAAATTAATCAGTGTTTTTGACAGGGTCATATACAGACTTTATGGCTGTGTATGTTCCTGTCAAAAAAACTCTGACTAGCCCTATCAAAAGCCATGTTTGAAAGGAAGCCTTTTGACAACTGTCAAGACTCTGTTCCCTCATAAATGGAATGACATGCACTTGCCCACTTCACTGAGTATTGGGAAAGTATGGAAAAGATGTGGTGGGGGGGGGGGACACTAAGAGTGGTAAGGTGCAGCACGCATGTGTGCACACAGACACCCTGGAGAATTTTGTTGGAAAACTGAAACCTTCCCCCCCCCCTTTTGCTAACTTATGAACAAATTTCTACAAGCCTGAGGTGTATTTAAAAAAGATGACAAAAACATGACATGTCAGTGACAATGGTTTCACTCTGCTTCTTGGGTACTTTGAAGGGGCTGCCAGTGGCTATTACTTTAGAAATTGCAAAAAGCAATCTCTAAAGAGAAAGAAAGGATACAAAGATAAAAGCTGCAATGATCACAAAAGGGATTGTGATCACTGGGGAGAGGGATGCCAATATAGGTGCTTCCTTGGAGCTGCTGGGATACCTGCAGAAGGATGAAGTGGGAAGACAAATCATGATGAGCTTGATTGCCTCTAAATTCATAGGGTGAAAACACAGCTATTGACTGGGTTTGCTCATCATGGCAAAACATTGTGGGTAACCAGCCACGGTGGTTTGTCATATCTGAATCCACAGACTGTTTCTCACAGGGTGGCATGTTTATGGATAACCTGCTATACTGACAGCCAGTGGTTTTACCTAGGGATTTTTTGCCCTTGATTGGTTTTTGTCTTGTCCAAACCTGGGACACTTATTCCATCATGAGAATTGTGTTGCTCTTTGTGGTTTCATCCATGTTTCTAGTGGGGTGCTGTCAAAAATGTGTAGGGCATGAAGAACAGTCTTTTCAACATTTGAAATCCCAAGGATTACACAGCTAATGGGGATCTTGTCACCACTCCCTTTTGATGAACTTACTTTTTTCATTGTTACCAGTGATTTTCAGTTGGCAGTTTAGCAACTCTGTGAGTGAGCCTATTTATTTATTTAAAGTTTTTATGTGCTGTCCCCTTGCTATAAGGACGGCTCACACAAATAAATAAATATAATACAAAAACAGTTAAAACTCGGAAACACCTCGGCTGCACAATTAAAACCTATAGGTATTGAACATTATTAAAATATTGTTTGAATAAAAAGGTCTTAGCCTGGCGCCGAAAAACAAATAATGACGGTGCCAGGTGGACCTCTCTGGGGAGCGCATTCCACAGATGGGGCACCACCGCAGAGAAAGCCCACCTCCGGGTACTTTGCTTCCTGATGTCTCTCCCAGTGGAGGGCCTCTGCTGCCGATCTCAAGGGGCAGGAGGGCAAATACGGAAGCAAGCCTATGTGTAGTCTTGTCAGTTTCCATCCATGTTACCAAATGCAGTTGAAACTCACAAGGACATCCAGCTGGCAAGAATACATATGTGCCTGAAAGTTGTAAGTATGCATTTCCACAACCTTGAATGATGGACAAATTGAAAAAAAATTCTGACTATATTTGCACACATTTCTATGTGCAAAGAACTGAATATGACTACCGTTCCAGTTTTGAGACTTTGGGGAAAAAAACAGCAGCAAATGAAAAGGAAAGTAATTGGAGCAGGAATGGGGAGAATATGGACTCCACTATGAAGGACATTGGGATGCTAGCAGGAAAACCAAGTGGATAAGAGGAGGAGAACATCTCATGTGAGCCTAGTCATCAGTCTCTCGGATGCACTGTGGATTGTTCTGCAAGTTGCCCATGAACTTTGGCTTATTTACAGGGTGGCTTAGTATGTTGTGAACCTGTTCACTTCAGTTGCAGTTATTCTGACTCACAATAATACTTCTGGTTTTTTAGGCCCTATTCATGATTCATTTTCTTAGTTATAGCATAGGAGTAATTTTCACTTAGTTGTATATAATATCTGGCTATAAAATAGGAAGAAACCCCTGGTTCATTCATTGTAGGGACCCACTATTATGGTGATCTAATTTGTAAAATGATTTCATTGCTTTAATAGGTTCTTTGGGATTTCCTTTTGAGATTGGTAATTCCTGAATTATCAGTGAGCAATATTACTTAAAAATTGATAAATTTGCCCCCCTGTAGGAAGCATGAAGTATTCAAACCCTATGTATCTCATGTGGAGTTTTGATATTATGTAAAGAGATGCCAAAACAATGAGAAATAGAAAGTATGTGGATAATGTTTTCTTAGGCTGCCAGAGTTGTGTGGTTTGGTATTATCCATTCCAGATGAGAGCTTTTCATTCACATGAAAAGATGCTGGAGCTAGTTAAAATTAGATAATGTAGTGACTTTTATATAGCACTTTTTCTGTTCTGCAGCCCACATTTTACACAGCTGTGTTAATGGATAAAAACTTAAAATTATATAAAAGTGACTCCACAATAATAAGGGCAGGGGTGGGCAGAAAACATTGTTAAATACTAGTTTCTGTTTCATAATATTATAGGCTGTGATATTACAACTAATTAATTCATGCTGTCTTGCATTCTGGTTGTAGGCGAATGGTGTTCTGGCAGCAGTTACTAAGCATTGCTCTCATGTTTAGTCATGTGTCAAGGGAAATTATTTTGTTTTCTTATAAATTACTCAGATAGTATATTCATAAAAGTCTCATATTTTAAAAATCTAGATTGTATGAAGAACACTAAGATTTGCCTTTAGTTCATTCAAATATTGGCATTCATTAGCATAAAGTAAGCAATTGCTGTGGTCTGTGGTTTTAATGGTTGCTGAGCCAATATCTGAATATTGCTAAAGTTTGATAACATATAAACAGATTTCTTTTGTCCAGAATTCCATTCTAATTTTTTTGAAAAGTTTGAGAATCCTATCTTTCATTTAGCATTTTCCTGCTAGAGCAGCATTATGGCAGATTCAGAAACCTATGTCCCCTGTTACTTTGTATTCCCCAAACCTTTTTTTGGGGGGGGGACTTTATAGTATTTATAGCAAAACACTATAGATGGCACACACATCTCTTCTCTCTTTTCCCTGTCCTCTCTTCCTCCCTCCCTTGTATGCACATGAATATACTTTAACCAATCTGTTCCTGATCACAGTGGTTAGGAGTGCAGCTACTGAGTAATCTGGCTCTAAGAATAAGGAAGACTGTTTTTTGAACATGCTGGGTCTGCATGTCTTATCAGTTTCCTGCATGACAGTATGATTGTTATTGCCATGACAGGCTAGATTTTCTTTGCTTCTTCACACAGTTCAGTAGTAAAGCCTTCCTATTCAACTTTCTGGAGCTTTGTTGACTTCTCATGTGCTGGATGCTACTTTTGCATAAAGGTTTGATCCTCCCACAAGGAAAAAGCCAGGCAATCTGGTAATAGACAAGGGATATCTTGAAATATTGTGTACTGGTCCTGTTGTTCACTTGATGAACAAGTTAAATTCAAGGATCTAGATCACAAGCATTTCATAGAAAGGTCTCCTGGCTTCTGGCAACACCATGGAAGATGCTGTAAGTACATCCATGAGGTCAGCTGCAATCCACTGACAACGTAAATGCCTACTTCTCATGACATCACTTTGAGATGTGGCAATTATGTTTTAGTTTGTGTATTTAAACTTTAACAGTAGATGGTAATAGAATATATTGGTTTACATTTTTGCACAGGACCAAAGAATGCAATGCTTCGTCTAGCTGTCAAGTTCTTTCCTCCTGATCCTGGTCAGTTGCAAGAGGAGTATACCAGGTAAATTATCTCAGTATTAACTTCTTAATGATTTACAACAAAAAGACAAAAAAGTGAGAAGGGTTAGCAGATACATTTAAAATCTGGAGAACTGGAAGGTTCATTTTTTGTTTGAGTTGAGTTCTAATTTTTTAGGTTAATTTAAATGAAATTAGGTTTCCCCTAATCTAATTTAGTAGCAGTGAGGCTTCTTCAGCTGCATGCAAAGACAATTGATGTGCCAAGAACACACAAATGGTCAAAACATCAATTTTTAGAAATTCTTATAAGAAGAAAAATAACATGTTTAAGTAGCTTTGTGTAGTTATTTTCCTGGGAGAAAAATTCAGGCTGTCATCCTGTAGATATTTAAATGGGAGTAAGTATCACTGAATATACTGCTACTGAGCAAATATGCATAAGATTTTCATAGCTTATGAATTCTAGACTTCTTAGGGTAGCAAGGCACAATTTCCTGTGTTACTTTTATGTTTTAATATACTAGATATTGTCTCAACAATTCCAGAACAGTTAGTCTGATTTCTCCCCTACTCCCAATTTATCTTGCTGTGTCTCTGTTTGGTAATGTAGCCTTCTGTGCAAATTTTGAACATAAGTTATCTAGGAAATGTTTTCTTCTGATTCTTTCTTAAGAACTGACACGTGCTTTTGTAGGTATACTCATCTCCAAGCGTCTATGTTTCTGTCAAGCTATGATGCTTATATTTTTAGTATTGTCTGCCTCAGTCTATTTGCACATACCTTTCCATTAATGTATCTCTGTGCGTGCCAGCTTTTCTTCACAGCTAAACTTAGTGGCTTTCAGTTGCTGCTGCTTCCTCACTTTGATTTGCTTCTGTCTTTATTTGCTTCCTCCTTTCCTAAGTTACTACTGTGTATGGCTACTGGATTCAGGGGAACTCTTGGTGTATTAGAATTATTGGATTATGTCTTATTTCTTTCAAAGCAAGAAAAATTGGGAAATTTGCAGATTCTATGGTGCTCTGTGGAAGGGAGATGACCTTCCACTTCCATGAAACATTCTTGTGTAGGATGGTGTCTGGAGAGAGGGATAGCAGAGATGGGGAACGTTATTCTGTCAGCAGGAATGTTGTTGGTCAAAGATAAAGGGGAGATGTAGGCGAGCAAAAACTTGGGTCTGGAAACTCCCTATTCCTGCTACATATTATCACAAAATCATTAAAATATTGAAAGCTTTTAATATAAATATATTGCTTATCATGAAGTATTTGTGTTGTGTTTCCTGCAGTGGAAGGTTGTAAGCAGGTTGTGGAGAAACTAGTAAGTTGAAAGGGTTGTGGTAGCTGTAACTGCACCTCACCTTCATTGAGCCATATTGATAACAGATTATGCAACATGTGCAAAAGCTTCATTAGGCATAGCCCTAACTCTCTTTGCCCACTAGACAGTTAAATGTCTTGGTGTAGGTGAAATTTTCCCTGGCCTGTACCTAGTAATCCTATATGCCTAGAATAACCAGTGAAGTGATGTGGTCGTAGTAAATAGCTGTCACTGAACAGTATTACCATAACAAGACAAACCATACAGTAGCATAAGCCATGCCCCAGGGCCCACAGTATGCCTGACAGAAAGTTCATTACATTGTGGGTCCTTACCTACCTTCTCCCATTTTTTTTACCCCATGTCATTTTATGGGTATCTCAGGGGATACTGTGGGAGGAGAAGGTCTGCCTCCACTAGCTGCTGCTGCAGCAAGCTCAAAAGGACTTGCAACAATGGAAAGTGGGGATCGCTTCTCTTGACTAGCTGCTATCCAGTTCCCTGAAGTAGTCTCCACTCCCCAGTATGAGCTGGGGGATCAGGGTTTGCTTCATTGAGTTGGCTGCCTAACCAGCCAAAATGATCTCTGTTTCACAGTATGCCCAAAAGGGAATGTGGGGGCAGTGGAGTAGGACAGCCAAGGGCTGTAATGTGTTGCTATTACAGCTTGCCTAATAAGGCATGTAGGGAGCTGGGGAATTAGCATCACTCTAGCTTGCTGTCAGATTGACTTTGACAGGTTGAAGTGATTCGAGCTCCTTCATACCCTGGCAACCCCAAAAGAGCTAGGAAAGGAACAGGGAAGCCTCTGACAACCACCCTCAAGTATTCCTTGACCATTTTGGGGTGTTGTGTTCTAGTATTTAGGAAACACCTCAGGAAGTATCTTAGAAGCTGTTTATTGGAATAACTCCTTCTTTGAGTCCTCAGCTGAGCCATAGGCAGTCACAGTCTGCAATTCCAGGTTGGTTTGGAGCCCCTTGTGTCTCTTGAAATATACAGTCCATCAATCCTGAACTCAGAATTCCTGGATGCTGTGCCAATCAATGCCCATAAATTCACAGATGCTTAGAAGCTTTTCCAGCTGGCATTCTTTTGTCTCCTGCAAAGCCACTGAGAAACTTCCTTGGTTTATATATTGTTCAGTCTTGGATGCAGGCAGGGAAACTGTCCCCTCAACCTGTAACTACACTGAGTTGAGCATTTCTGCCCTGCCCTCTTGCTGACATACTCGTATGGTACAGACACCCCTGGCAACAGACAGCAAGCCCCTCTCTTGCTGTCTGTACAGATGACTATCCCTGAGTGATTAGTAGGTGTCTCTGCCAAGGTTGAGTCTCCTATCTGAGATTAGCTGTATCAATCTGAAGTCTTTCTCCTCTTCTGTTCACCAGACAGTAGAAGGCCAAGCTAAGCTGAATCATCCTGATTCTGAGAATACTGATATTCTCAACTGGTCCAGATATTACCCCCTCCTTCTCTAAACTTGACACTGCATCCACAGTGGAAGCTCTGCCTGGATTGGGGAGAGGTCCCATTGAGGGTGGCTGGCAACCATGTAGACCATTAGCCACTGGGCTTGAATGGCAAGGAATTTTGTCACTCCTGCCAAGTAGATCACTTGTAGTTGGACTGGATCCACAGTGGGATGTGTTGCCTGGATTCAGATGAAGTGACAACCTATTGTGGGTCAAACAAAGCAAGCTGGCTATGCTCCTGCTGCTCTCTATGTCCCTGCCCAAAAAGGAACCTTGTAGCCTCTTCTAAAACTCACTTTAGAGAACATAAGACAAATAGGGTAGATCCTCAAACACCCCCTTCCCTGCAAAAACCTGTGTTTTGTGGGGAACCTCTTATCTTCCCCTTATCCCATCCAGTTTGCACTTGTTTCCAGGATGCTGATGAGCTGAGAACACGCAATACTAAGCAAGGCTCCCTTTACAAACTAAATCTAGTTTGACGGATGACCTCATCTGTCAGTGGGGAAACCTGCATTGTTAAAGATGGAGTTCTTTGTGCTTAACTAAATGCTTTCGCAAAAAAGCGCGTGCACACACACACACACACACACACTCCTTTCCCTTTATTGGCCTTTAAACATTTTTTAAATAAGCACTAAGAACTCCCATATGTCTCCACTGCCATTCCCATGTAACTGCAGTAGGCTGTAATTTTGCAAGAGTGGCAATAAAAGAAATAAAAAGCAGTAACTTTTCACAAATATTTGGGAAAATTAAGGAGTGCAAAGCATTTTTAAAGATATCATTGGGTCCTCCTGGAGGAACTTCTCATGGTTGCCAAAATGGGGATCATGAAAGACCCTTTGCCATCTGTGGAGGGGAGGGAAGCTTAAACAGAGGGAAAGCCAAGGTGAGGAGGGGAGAATTTACCATAGTTCCTTTAACAGAACACGATACTAACATTTGTTCCCTTTTAGGTATCTGTTTGCATTGCAAATCAAGAGAGACCTAGCAGAGGAACGGCTTACCTGCAATGATAACACAGCTGCACTTCTCATATCTCACCTTCTGCAGTGTTAGTATTTAAAGTTGCTCATTGTAATTTGATTAAATTTCAGTACTTTAGAGATACTGCAAAATACATTGGCACAGTCTAACTACACATGATTCAGAGCATTCTCCGGTTTTGTCAGTGCGTGCATGCATATCAATTTAATATCCATATTTACTGTCAGTGTATAAATTGAATAACTGACTATGTTAGTTCAAAAGAAGAGCTTGTCTCACAGAAGACCTACTGTATTTCTGGAATATTACTTTCATGGGTGGAATCTCTGTCTGTAGGCAGAGTGGTTAGTTGGGTCCCAGCCCTCTGTTTCTGCTAGTGCATTAGTTGCCCATAACATGTATGTTAGGCACTAGGCACTTTGCTTTTTTTTTTTTCTGCTTCCTTCGATTTATATTCAGCCTTTTTCCTACAAGGGGCTCAAGGCAGCTTAAATCATTCTCCTCCTCCATCTTATCCCCACAACAACAGCCCTGTGAGGTAGGTTGGGCTGAGGGTCTGTGACTGGCCCAAAGTCACCCAGTTGGCTCCATGGCTGAGCGGGGACTAGAACCCAGATCCAGTCCCAGTCCCATGCTCTTAACCACTACACCACACTGGCTCTTCATTTGGTAACAACATATGCAGAAATGTTTTTTGGTTCATGGCAGAAGTAATTAGATTTTTGTAAACTGCCCAGAAATCTGCTATTGGGCAATATAGAAATTTAATAAATAATACATAATAAGAAATATTTTTGTTCCTTGTCAAGCAAACACAAACCTGGTGTTTGATTATTATATGATTATACACTGCTAAGTTTTTGGTAAGGGGCTTTGTCAGAAGCTTTTTATATGTAATGTTTAGTGTTAGGTGACCTCTGTTTGTATGTTTATAAATACTCTCCAAATACCTTAGATTGTTGAAGAGGCATACCTTCCCTTTCCAGAAGGTATGCCAATTCTTGTGAGGCTTGTTCTTTTCTATATACAGCGGTGCCTCATAGATCTAACTTTGAATGATCTAGAGGTTGAATGCTGGAGTCGAGATAAAATTGCTCCAAAGTTTGAATGCTTCTATGTCCGAACTGCAAGTGAAGTGAAAAAATGAGTTGCAGCGTAAACGTCATCTGTTGTACACCCAAGTCATCTCATGTTTTTAGTGCATGCATGTTCATGCATGTTCATGCATTTTCAGTGCTGTTTTGTTTTGTTTGTTTTGTTTTTGGTTATATACAAGGCGTGATCAAAAAATATGGTGAATGCTTAAATTAAAAAAAGAAAAAACCACTAAAAGACACATTGCCATTAATCCCCCTCAGAATACCCCCCTCACTTCAAACACACTTATCCCATCATTCTAACCACTTTCTGAATCAATTCAAAACACACATTGCTTCTGGTACAGCAATTTCTGTCAAATAAAAACATTACAATGTGTCCTTATTCACCGGATCTGGCACTCTGTGACTTTTGATTCACACTATGTTTCTTTGTTCATGTGGCAATTTTAAATTTTGTTGCTTGTATTTTCTCGTGATTCTATGTGGCTTTGTGCTGCCATTGTCCTAAAAAGCAACTAAACTTTACATAAGTAAATATATTTCCTTTAAATTTTTAGTATTAATAATCAAACAATCACCATACATGCTGAAAATATTTATTTATTATTCTTTCCTTCATCTTGTTTTTAATTAACTCCTCACATGGGAGCCATCTCTAAAGGAAGCTAGGAGGATGGCTACCCAAGGCAGGGCCTTCTCAGTTGTGGCACCCCACCTGTGGAATTGACTTCCCAGAGGTATTCATCAAGTGCTGTTCTTATACATATTCTGGCGCCAGACTAAGGCACTGTTATTCAAGGAGTATTTTATTTGTTGATGATTTTACTTGGAATTTGATTTTAATTATATTTTAATGCAAATTTTAGTATTCCTAATTGTGACATTTAAGATCATTCCAATCTGTTGTTAAACTATTAATTGGTGTTCCTGCTCTGATGTTATGTTATTTGTTATTGATATCATGGTTTTAATTAATTGTGTTCAGTTGTGTTACTTATGATGCTTTATGTTCTTGGTTTTTTATTATGTAAATCATCTAGGGAGCCATGTGGCTATAAAACAGTATGCAAAAGTGCTTAATAAATAAATTTTGGAAGTTTCTCTATAAGAAAAAGTTAAATCATGTTGTGTTACACATATTGGGCATAAATGCTGTTTGTATTGAATTTAACAGCATTGTGGTCATTTTTCTAAAGTGGTTTAGCAATACTGGACATTCTTGGACTTTCAAAAAAGCTTTAAACAAAGTCCCTCACCAAGGACACCTGAGCAGACTTCACAGTCATGGTTAAGAGGAGAGATCCTCTTACAGATTGGCAACTGATTAAAGCATAGAAAGAAAAGAGTAGGACTTGAATGGACATTTCTCACTATGGAGGGATGTAAACAGTGCGGTCTTATGACTACCTGTTTTGGGGCCACTGCTTTTAAACTTGTTAATAAATGATCTAGAGTTAGGGTTGAGCAGTGGCATGACCAAGTTTGCTGATAGCATCAAATAATTTAAAATAAATGAAATAAAGAGGGGCAGCAAAGAGCTGTAAATGTATATTCCCAAGTAGGAGGAATGATGGCAAATGCAGTTTAATATAGACAAGTGCTCAGTGATATATACACTGGAGCAAAAAAAAACCCCTAACTTTAGCTATAAAATGATGGAGTCTGGAGATGACTGATGGCTAAATTCGTGTCATTCTCAGTACCATATGCTGGAGTAATTGAGTGATATTTTGAACTTTTCATAGGCATCTGGTTCACCTCTGTGGGGTTAATGCAAATATATCAATTATATCAACCACTTAATGTAAATTACATATTTCAATATGTTTATATTTTGCATATCTCACTAGAACATACTTTGCATATTTTGCATAGCTCACTAGAACATACTTTGAAGATCTACAAATCTTGAGCGGTTAGAAAACACGAAGTAGTAGGAAGACATCCATTCAGAAAATTGAATAAACCAGTGACATTGGAAAATAGATTATCTTTGTAAACTGAAACTACGAGAAGATTTGTCAGATAGAAGGTTCTGAATTATGAAAAATATCTATTGCACAAGACTGTAAATAGTCCCTTCCCTTAAGAAAAGCCACTGTGAGTTTTTGATAGGGGAAGTCAATAGATAATTTTGATATGTATGATAATTTTAAGGATTTTTTTTTGCAAGGTCTGTGGAAATAACTGCAATATGTAATAACTATTCTTTTAATTTGTCTATGTGTCACAGCGGAAATTGGGGATTTTGATGAATCAGGGGACCGAGAGCACCTTAAAAACAACCAATACTTTCCTCATCAGGAAAGGCTACAAGGCAAAATACTTGAATTTCACAGGAAACACATGTAAGTAAGAAAAAATGTTTGGTGTCTATTATTCAAGACGGTGCCTTATTTTATTGCAAAATTGCCTTTGCAGGAATGATAGAAGGATTTTTTCCTTGCTGGTGTTAAACTGGGCTAATTTGTGTGTTATGGGTCATAAAAACAAGACTGTCTTCGCGTTAAGTTTGCCATGAATAAATGGATGATTGGTGTAATCTGGCCATATTTCAGAACACTTAGTTGACACATGGTTTTAAAATATTGCTTTTAGGACTTCCATGCTTCTGATCATGTTTTGCCCTCAAAAATGACATAATAAGATTTTTTCATCAGTAGAAAATCTTTTTTCCAGCATCCATTTAAAATGGGAAGAAATGTGAGGCTTGGGAAGGTTGTCCAATATATATTACATCTGGATTTTGAAGACAAAACTAAAAAAGTTCTGGCAAATGTAAGGCCTGGCTGATTGACAAATGGACTGACCAGGGTGGAGACTTGGGACAAGCAGAAGCTGGAGGGGAAATAGTAACTCTGTGAGGGTTGCTGCATTCATGTGTGCACATGCGTATACAAGAAAATGTCCTTGCATCAAATGTTTCATCTCTCCAGTCCTTTCATGTCTTTTTCTCCATGCAAACATACCTATATAGGATTGCATCTGCTGGCCCTGTGTTATTGCCTCCCACGTGTTGTTGCTGCTTTCCCCGTGTACGCTTTCCTGCTAATGAGAGCACTGTTCCACATCATGGAGGAACTTATACATGTAGAACCTGCTCCTTTCAACAAACACGTAGAATCTGCTTCTTACTGCAACACATGGAGGGAGACACTGCATTTAGAACTCTGCGTGGCTTGCGTAGTCCCATTTTATCCTCACAACAACAAGGTAGATTGGGGTGAGAGTCTGCAGCTCAAAGTCATGCACCAAGCTGTGTGGCTGAGTGGGGACTAGAATCCCAATTTCCTGGATCCTAGTCTAACACATTAACCATCACACTGACTGAAAGAGATACCATGCGATGGGTCTTCTCTCCCTTCGCAATGTGTAAATGTGTCTGTGCGCTTTTTGATTATATAATCCATATAACAACCAGGTGTACTCTGTGGTTTGGTCTGCATCCTCATTCATTCTGTTGTGAATGTATTTTGAAAGATCTGTCATGGAACTACTTGATGGAACCAGTCTCTAACAGAAGTTGACTACAATACATCTCAGTTTTAGCGCTTCCACATATTTATCACTCCAGGTAATATGGGGAAAACAATAATGGACAACTTCTTGAACAACTGGGCAAGCCATGGAGCAGAGCATGCACTATATTTTGACAAGAAACCAAATTAGCTTGCACATTTTGAGTAACCAATCCCTTCATACCTGTTTAAGTATGGGAAATTTATGATTCATCTCAAGCCTATTTTAAATTTGTCTTGCAACTTCACAATTGCTATTGGGTGTTTGCTCACAATAAGCAATCCCCATTCAGTAAGACTGGGTTGTGAACCTTTCTGTGTGTATGTCAGCAGCTACATGCCAAAGCGGGGCCACCCTTCTGTCATTTTCTCTCCTCTCATCTGTTTCTTCCTCTTCTAGCCCAGAGAAGGCCAAATCATGCCAGAGTTTTGGACTGATAGTGGGCAGAGGGCTTCTGAAATTGCGGAAGCATTTGTGAAAAGTGGACTGGGTTTGAATGACACAATAACCTACAGTAGCTAGCCACCCACAGTGAATTATCATGTCATGATAATGAGGTCATTGCACCACTTTGACCCTAAGTATTGGCTTTATACTGCAATATATACTGCATATCCTTTAATGTCTGTACAGGAATAGAACTCATTAAAGAACATAGGATTGAAATCGATTGCAGGGATATTTTTCTCCTTCAGAAAATTCTGTAAATTGGCAGTCCATTGGATTGTAGCATGGCTAAGCAGATTTATCTGCTTAGCAGATAACAAAATTAGACCAGATTGTTTTCAAGCCAGTCTGTGAGGATTAGGCAACTGAAAACACCTGATGATAATTACTCCAAAACTGCCTTACACTTATAAACAGTTGTTTGCATACAGTAGGCCACTTGATGTAATTCCCGTTTTTCTCTGCTTCAGAAATTAAGCATCTTCTGAACATGCAAGAATTGTTAATTGAAAGCACTGCTTTGTTTTTGGGCAGTGATTCCTTCTTGTCATCAAAATAGAATAGAAAATTTGGCAATTTTTACCTGTAATAAGTATGCTACCTAGAAAACTGCTATTAATAGCCATATTGTTGCTGTATTCCAATATAATGGAGTAACCCCAGTGTTCTATGTGTGAGCTTCCAGATTGTGTTCTCTCTTCCCCTCTTTCCATGCTACAGGAAGAAATTTGAAAGTGTCTGATTCTAGTTTTAAATTAATCATGGAGCAAGATTGAAAATAAAGCAGGAGACCCTATTAGGAGCTTGGACTCATTGGGAAGGCAATAAGGATCTATAGTAGCTGTGGTTCAGACAGGCACAGTACCAAGAAGAACCACAGTTTGGAGGCACTGTGTGCAACCTCAGGACTTACTTGGTAATAACTTATCACTGAGGTGTTAGCTGATAGCTCTTGGAACTTGCAAAGGATTCTGATGCATGTGAACGATTAGAACTAAGGTGGGATGATTCTGTCAGCAAAGCACAACAGTGTTCAGCATGGCATCAGTTAACTGCAAATGATGGGTAGGTTAGACTATAAAAATATTTTTCTCAGTTGACAAGTAGACCTTGAGGCTGTAGAACGGCCAGACTGAGATTCATACAGTATAATAGGGTGCCCCTGGAGCTATCAAGTACTAGTTTGTCTCTGGGTGGTTAAAAGAAAATTGAATAAACCAGATTTTAGAATTTAAATCAGATTTTTAAAATACTGTTAGTTATTTCTGACAAAAAATCAGCAATGAAATGCATTTCTCTCTCATTTAAAAATAGCATTGTTGCAGTTAATCCATTGAATTTATGCCTTGGCTTTGTTCCTTTTTGCAAGGAACCCAAAGAAGCTCACATGGTAGTCCTCCTCTCCATTTTATAATTTATTCTTCAAAGACCGAAAAGCAGGGACAAAGTATATCCTGTCACCTGTCATTGGTGAGGGGAACAAGGGCTGCTGGAAGTTTTTCACCCTCTGCTTCCTGGAGGGGAATGTGACAATGATGGGGAGACCAGCCTGGTTCCATGCATCAGTTAGAGAAGGAGCAGCTGCTGCGAGTCCCCCCCCCCTCCCTCCCTCCCTCCCTCCCTCCCTCTCTCTCTCTCTCTCTCTCTCTCTCTCTCACACACACACACACACACACACACACACACTAACAACACTCAGTTTCCGTTACACTTGCCCTAGGACTGCAGATCTGAGGGGCAGCATGTTCTGGTCCAGTCCACCAACCAGATTAAGGGCTCTTTGATAGTATTTCTGTGTGAGTTGTGAGAGGGTTTTTTTAAGTTGCCTTGAGAATTATTTGATTGAAGGGCAGGCTATAGATCCTCAAAATAAATAGATTGCCTTGTGCTCAACTTTGAACAAGTTTTTCCTTTGCTCCAGCACAGTCAAGTGCTGTGTGACTACATGGTTCAGTGTCTATTTTCATGGATATATACTTACTGACCTTGTTAGACTGTAAGTTTTTAAACTTAAAAATCAGTTTTAAAAACATAGTTTTTTAATGTTGCTAATCCGTTAACAGCTTCAGTTTGTTCTGATTGCTCTAGGGGCCAAACTCCCGCCGAATCAGATTTTCAGGTGCTTGAAATAGCCCGGAAATTGGAGATGTATGGCATGAGATTTCATTTGGCATCTGACCGTGAAGGGACAAAAATTAACCTGGCTGTTTCACATATGGGTGTTCTGGTATTCCAGGTAGGAAAGAAATATTTAATACGAGAAACTGTATTTACACTGATAGAAGACCTTTTTAAAATCCCAAATACAAGTTTAGCCCTATGCCTGCCCTAGGGCACGTGCTAATTGCTCCTGAATGAAAGGCAACACCTATTCCTTGCTGCTGCAGTCTTTCCAACCCAGAGAAAGATATCAGTGTAACACTCAGTGGTGAAGGCCTAAGTGGAAACTCCAAACCCAGAGGAATATGGGGGAAGAGAAGAAACAGCAGCAGGGAAATGTACTTCTGAAAGCAAAGTTACTTAGTTGAAAGAGTAGCATAGAGCAATTTTACTATTGGTTCTGCTGCATTATAGAGGATATCCTGGCTACACATTGTCCATCTTTGATTTAGTTGTTCAGTATCTGTAGACTGAGTTTTCCTTTGGACTGTGCTGTTGCTGTGGCAGAAGTGGGCTGGGTGGGTTCCTGAGTGACTTAACCAAGACTTGTCTGCAACTTTGATCCAAAGAACAGGAATAGTTTTGATAGTATTATTATATTGATAGTATATTTATATGTTCTTTATTCAGATCACATATATTACGTACTTTTCCTCAACTTTTTGCTTTGTCTTCAATATAGGGTAATACAAAAATTAATACTTTCAACTGGTCCAAAATCCGAAAAATAAGTTTTAAGAGAAAAAGATTCCTTATCAAACTTCACCCAGAGGTTCATGTAAGTACTTCCATAACAGTTCTTCCATATTTTTACACTGAAATGTAGTTTTCTGCATGTGAACTAGTTATTCCCCAGACTCTACAGTTTTTCATGTTAATAAGAGATGTCTAGTTCAGATTGTATTGTATTGGTTATTAATTTTCTATTCCAGTTTCTTTTCCTTCCAAGGAACTCAGGGCAGCTTACATAATTCTCCTTCTGTGTGAGGTAGTTGGGCTGAGATACTGTGAGTGACTGAAAGTCATCCAGTGAGCTTGATGGCTGAGTGGGGACTAAAACCAGAAACTCCTGAATTCCAGTCCCACACTCTTAACCGCTACACCACACTGGCTTATGTTAGTTAAAGAACATGTCATTAAATACCATACTATTTAATCTATACAATATAAAATTATTGGACACAATCAACATGAGAAGGGAACATTTGGAATGAGAAAAAAATGCAGAATCAGATAAGCATAACAGTCAGCTTGATTATAGGGAAAAGTAAGTTAGATTTGTGTTTTAATATTTATTTTGTGCTGTTTTTAGGGTATTTGTATCTTCCCATTCTGATGGTAACTTACCATAAGAGGAAGATACAGGGAAATGTTATTTTCTTCTTCAGGCACAACTCTATCTTTATGTTAAATGTGTTACATAGTTTTGGTACTTAGCTTTTTAATAACTTCATCCTTTAGAACTTATATTAGATCTTTCTTCAAAAATTTGTTTCTTTCCTTGTTTGATTTCTGTAACATCTGTACCACCCAGCAGTCAAAGCTCTCTGGGCATTTTACAGGACCACAGTACAATAAAAAGTACAATAAATATAGAAAAAAATTTTCTATAATAAAAATAGAAATAGGTTGCCATAACCCTAACCCTATACCACTGAATAAGATGAAAGTTTATTTCAAAGGTTTTGTCATGTTCGTTGCAAGCCAAGCTTTGTAAATGGCCACCTAGTAAGAAGAACCTCTAGACAACCAAATGCAGAAATGTTTTATAAATTGGAAGAGTGTTTGTTCCCCCTCACGCACGTAACAGCTATAATTGTGCCACAAATGTCTAATATAATTATGTATGAGAAAGGGCTATAGCTAAATGACAGAGCACATGCTATATATGTAGAAACCCCAAGGTTCAGTCCCTGGCATTTTCAGGTAGGGCTTGGACAGCCATTCCCAGTCAATGTTGACAGTAAGAATGCTTCCTGGGACCCTATAGTAAAAATAATTGTGGCTTGTATGTAAGTGCTGCAAATGTACTTGAAAGATGGAGTCATACCATTTATTTCACAATCACCTGTGTTCAGTATATGTATTAATCATTCTCTGTGTAAATATTATGCTAACATTTTTGTTCAGCAATAATTCATACTGGTCCAAACAGGCTCTCATATTTTAAGGAAGAAATAGGAGTGGGGGATTAGTTGCCTTTCAGAAAACCTGTTTTAAAATGCTCAGTTCCCTCTAGCCAGTGAGTTAATGGGTGCTGTAGAACAAATTTTACAGACCTGCACTGAATATTGGGGTTATATATGCTACATGGAAGGTATGTTTGAACCCCATTCTGTTTCAATTCTAGGGTTCATACCAGGATACACTGGAGTTTCTTTTGGGAAGTAGAGATGAGTGCAAGAATTTCTGGAAAATATGTGTTGAGTATCATACTTTCTTCAGGCTGTTTGATCAGCCAAAACCAAAGTCAAAACCAGTCTTCTTCAGTAGAGGTTCATCTTTCAGATACAGGTATGATATGACCCAATTCATTTTGCATCAAGAAAATGAAATCAAGAAAAGCTTTTCAAGTAATTCCTTTAAAATTAAAGATTTAAGACGTTGTTCTTCAAAGTACAAACACTGTTTGCTCACAGCCCAGAACTGTGTGTACTTTTCATGAGATTTTTGGTAACATTGTTATTTCTTGCTTTGCAGTGGGCGTACACAAAAACAATTGGTGGATTATGTTAAAGAAAGTGGGTTGAAAAAAATTCCATATGAAAGGTAACAAGCTATACAATATTTTATTTTACTTCTATAGGCTATCTTGTGTCTTTCTTAGTATGTTCCACAATAATGAAATTTTGCTCACATTTTAGATGTCACTCCTATGCCAATCAAAGGTCTTGTTTTTTTCTAAAAGAACATAGAACTATTTTTTGTTTTTGTTGTTGCTGCTGCTCTGCTTCAAAGTTAGACTTCTTTATTTCCCAGATTTGCTTGTGTTGTGTTATCTAGAGGGGCTGGAGCTTCTCTGTGCTGCACATCATTATCAGTGTCGTATGGTAATAGAAATGTGTGTATGAGTGCAAATTGTGTGCATGCTAGTATGTGTTTCTCTGCATGTGCACATGTCTGGTCACTATAACCCCATCAGAATCTCCATGTAGCCCTCTGGTCTGACAAAGTTATACCCTTTAATGCCCAATACAGTTTTGGGACCAAAATAGCTGAAAGACAGCTTACTTACATGTGATTTCAGAGACCTTGGTTGGTTGGTTGGTTTATTTTTAGATGTCCTGATAAACAAGGCTCTCTGGATGGTTAACAATAGGTAATATTAGATGAACACTAAAAAGACATGCACAAACATTAAGTGAATGAAACCACAATAGCAATTGCAAGGATTTAGCATAGAAGCATAGAAGTATGGAATAAAATGGAGCACAGATAAAAACAAAGTTTAAAAGTTAAACTGTTAAAATACTGGAACAGTGAAAAAGTCTTCACCTGATGCTGAAAAGAATACAAAATAGGAGGCCGGCACACATCTTCAGGGAGTTCATTCCAAAACCAGTGTGTCTCAACCAGAAAGGCCCTCCTCCTGGCAGTCATGTGCTTCACTTCCTTTGGCAGGGGCTCTCAGAGAAGGACCCGCGAAGATGAATTCAGGGTCCAGATGGGGGAGGAGGCAGGTCTTCAGATAACCTGGCTGCAAGCTGTTTGGGGCTTTGAATGTTAGCACTAGCACTTTGAATTGGACCTGGACTTTAACCAGCAGCCAGTGCAGCTGGAAGAGGACTGGTGTAATGCATTCATTAATGTTTTTGCTGCCCTGTTTTTGGATCAGTTGAAGTTTCTGGATTATTTTCAAAGGCAGCCACATATGCAGCGCATTGTAGTAATTCAGACAAGAGGTTATCAGAGCATGCATAACTGTTGCTAGGCTCTCTGTAGTTGGTATATCAGCTTAAGCTGATAAGTGATGCTATGTGCACTTGTCCACTTGTGTTTCAAGCAACAACTCTGGGTCCAGGAGTACCCCCAAACTAGGAATTTTGTCCTTTGTGGGGGTGTGACCCCATCCAGAACAGGTTGAATATCACCCAACTGGACAGACTAACCACCAGCTAACAGCATCTCCATCTTGTCTGGACTGAGCCTCAGTTTGTTGGCCCTCATTCAGTCCATTACTATGCTCAGATACTAATTCAGAGAGGACACTGCCATATCTGGTTTTGATGAAAAAGAGTGAGTGTCATCTGCATATTGGTGGTAGCTCATCCTATATTTCTGGTATCCTCCCCCAGCAGTTTCATATAGATGTTAAATAGCATAGGGGATAAAAATAGAACTCTGTGCTACCCCATGCCATTACTGCCATGGCACAGAGCAATAATCCCTCAACACAACTTCTGGAATTGACTAGTCAAGTAGTAGCAGAACCACTGCAATATAGTGCCTCCTACTTCTAGTCCTGCTAGCCTAGGATACTTTGCTTGATGCCATCAAAAGCTGCTGAGAGGTCCAGGAGAATCAACAGGGTCACGCTCCCCTTGTCTTTATCCCAGCAGAGGTCATCCCACAGGCTGACCAAGGGATTTTTTTTTTTTTTTTGGTTTTTTGTAAGCCTTCCAGAGACTTTAGTATTGGTCGGCATATAAAAACTTTAAGTATTTTTTTCTGTTCCAAAACCATGCCTGGAGCCTGCCTGAAATGCATCTAGATAAGCTGTTTCATTCAAGGGTGCCTGGAGCTGTTCAGCCACCACCCATTCAAGCACCTTGCCCAGGAAGGGGATGTTGGCTACTGGCCTACAGTTATGAACATCCTCTGGGTGCAGGTTAGGCTTTTTCAGGAATGGCTTAATTAGAGCCTCTGTTAGAGACTGGCACCACTCCCTCTCTCAAGGAAGCATTCACATCCTTGTGGATTCACCTTGGAAAAGAGGTGTGTTATGGGGACATGGGACACAGCCTTTTCTGTGGCAGCATTCCAGTTGTTGAACTCCCTCCTTAAGACTGGGTTTGCACAACACACAACTCTCCATGGGCAGCAAGTCACAGTAAATTGTTGTGTTATCTGAACTCAGACTGTTTCTCACAGAGTGGCCTATTTTGGGGCAATAAGCCACCAAGCTTGTTCCAGAGTTGATTTGACTCATGATAGATTGTCATGTCATCCAAAGCTGGGAGACTGGTTGTGAGGGCTGATACAGGTTACAAGCTGCTCTTTACTATTTTGTCTGTCACTGCTAGTAACAGCCTCTGTACTGATGCCCAAGTGGCACTTTGAAGCAATGATCACTGTGAAAGGGAGCAAAGTATAGTTGGTAACAGAAATGGACACTGGCAAGCAAAAACTTGTATACAGTAATTTGTACACTGTTACAAGAACATCAACTAGGCAAAACTACATATATCAGAAAGCTGTAGGTGTGCACCCATATACCTCCTAGAGACTGATTTTTTTTTAAGAAAGTACACGTACACAATTATAAAAAATAAAAAGAACTGTGTGCTTTTGAGACTCTAAAATGAAACCAAATTTGGTAGTGGATAAAAAAGAGTAGCAATCAAAATGGGGAGGGGGAGACAAGATGGCTTCTGCCATGAAGGACACTGTGATACTGGCTGAAAGACAATTCAGTTCACCTCCCCATTACTCTATCAGATGCACCATGGGTTGTTCTGCAAACAGTGAACTCACCACAGCTTATTCACAGAGTGGCCTAGTGCATCATTTGAATGCAGCCTAAGGAGGACAGTGTCAGGATCTGGGCTGTGTTGATGGCCAGTACCAGAGCTGTCACCACCATTTGCAGGATCAATCCCAGGTCTTGCTGAAGCTCTCAGTCTACTGATGAGCACTAGTTGGGAGTCCTGGGGAAAGAACTATATAAAAGCAAACTCTTCCCTCCAGAACTGGCCTCAGTAATATAGGTCCTCCTGTTTGCTGTAGTACCTGCTTCTGGCTCTTGCTGTGTTCCCTGCTTTACCATGTTCCCTCACAACACAGGTTTACCTGTTTGTTGCTATGCCCGCCTCTTGCCTGACCTATTTCTTGTCTTGCCCGTGATCTTGCCTCACTGTGTTGCTTCGCTAACTCAGGGCTTACTGCAGTCTTTCCTGACCCTTGCTGCATCTGGTTCCGGTTATTTTGTGTACCTTGCTGTTGTGTATCATGCCATGTCTCCCACCCTGTTATCCTATTCAAGGTATCTGCACTTCTGTTTGTCCTCCTGGTTCTTGATCCTTGGCTTGTTCCTGACCATATCCTTGTTCTGCCTTCATGCGTTCTTCTGGTTGCTGACCTTGGCCTGTACCATGACTATGATTTGGACTTTCCATTAAGCCCTGCTTTTGGACTTTGTTTTTCTTGAAGTTCTGTTGCCCTTGTCCTGGTGCCTCTGATCCTCTGGTCTCATGTCATCTTGTCTCTGGCTGCCCACATCCTGGCCATGGACCCTGACTGTCAGAGTGGGCTAGTTATAGTAAATGTATCTGTAAATCATAGTATGTTAAATGTTAGTATGAAAATTTAGATGTGCATATTCTACACCTTGACCAGCTTACAATTCTTATTTTTAATAAAGGGTTGTTTCTCATGGTAAATCCACTGATACATGATAACAATGTTCTGAGGCTCATCTGCTTACTACTGTTAATCTTTATGGCACACATTCACTAATGGTTGCAACTACTTTGTGAAGTAATTTAGGCTAAGGAATAGCATATTGCCAAAGAATTGCTGCTTTTTAAACTTAATTTTATATGTTATAAGTTTATATAATTTTAAGTGTATATAGCTGGTGAAGAGTGTTAATTGATTTGTTCTTGTTAGACCTGTGAATGAACCCATACTTGTTCTGGTGAGACGTACACAACCATTGTAAGGAATTTTCAGACAAATGGTTCATCTATATCAAAGTAGATTACTTCCATTCATAGATATCCACACTTGACAATGTAGAAGAAGCTAAAACTGCAAGGACAAATTTATTAAAGGTTACAGAGATTCAAATGCACAAGTTGATTTTGGGGGAATCGGCTGAACATATAGATGTGTTAACAGATAAACAAAGTGGTAAACCAGTTGTCACCAAGTTATGCCTAGATGGGAACATTCTTGGCAAAGTTGGATTCCAGGCCTAAAAGTTGTTTTCAACACTATGGAAAGGATTCTTTCCAAGGCTTGAAGTGCATATACAAAAAGAAAAGGTGTGAGGAGAAGCAGTAGTGGTTAAGATTGTGTACTAAGACCTTCCAAGAACAATATACATTTTCCTGGGCTGAAATAGCAAGCATTGCAATTCCTAGTCTGAGATAAACAGGAAGGAAAACAGAAAGCCTTCAGTATGAGAGGCAAGCTGTGCAGTGGTGGCACCTTGCCTTGGCAAGAAAGGAGCCAATCTTAGTCATTTCAGTGTGCAACCTTTCCTAAACCAGACAACACTCACAAGCAATGGAAATGGTGATACTTGCTAAGGGATAGACTGAGCTGGACTTTTATCTGTATAAAAAAGTAAGTGCTTAGAGTTGATGGCTATACTTGCAGAAAACAAAAGTCTTACTGGGTCATTTCCCCATTCTGTTGAACCATGAATACACTGATCTTAAGTGCATATGTCAAGGCTGGAGCACGTTTTTATGTTGTTGACTGAGATGTCTCAGTACGTAGAACTCTTGCTCTCCGATACAGTCATGTTTGCTTGATGTTTAGCCTCACTTTTGCCTTTGGGAAATGCATTTGAGGAATTTCTTGCTGTAATCTTAGTTCATGGCTCTTATCCCTCTTCTGGTACTTTTCTCCTATCTTTGCTGAAGTTTGGTTGAAGACTTCTGGCTTACTTTACTGTCTTTGTTTCAAAATTGAGACAGTATTGTTATTAAGTTGCTCTTTTTCTGAGCCAGCAAGTGCTTGGATTATTTCTCAGGTAACTTCTCAGGTACTTATAGCATATTCTTTATTTATAGGAGGCATAGCAAAACTAGAATGTCTGCTCACACCTTGAATGCTGATCTACCCAAACAGGTTAGTCCTGAAATTAACCTTTTTAAAATAAAGATGACGAAACTCAACCTATAGTGACATTTTTTGCATTTTCAAAAAGATTTTTAAAACACTTCTCATTTTTCCCTATTTCTAATAGTGATGTTAAATAAGCATGTACTATTCACTTGAAGCACCTTATAATTTTTCAAGTTATACGTGAATGTAAAGCAAGCTTGCTTTGTGGATATATATAGTGAATTTTTCTGTTTTCTCTAAATGACAGATCCCTATGCCATGTCACAGGCTACTTATGAAATTCTCCTTTCTTGCCAAGGAGCTCTGCCAAGTGAAATTGAGGTGCTATTAGTACAGGCTGTGATTTCCTTGAGGCTCATGGAACAGAATAATTCTTTGGATCAAGACCAAGATCTGATCCTAAATCTTTCAAAGTATTATTAGTGAGCAGCTCTAAGTTATTATGGCTATTATGGCTAGGCTTATCTGTATATGTATCAAATAAAGCTCTTCTCTGCAGTGCTCATGGCTAGTTGCCTATTGTCATCCATTTAATAAATTTACTCTGGCATAAGCTATTGTGGATTAGCTTCATCAAATACATGAAATATTATGGAGAGTTTCAGGTTTATGATATACCTTCATGTGTGGGCAAGGTGAGTTGTAAACTGTGAAATGCCAGAAGGCTTGCTTTTGCTGCATTAGATTAACAGGGCTATCAGCTGGTGTTCATTAATGTTGCACACAACACTCTATGTGTAAACTGAGAAATAAGTAAAACTGTGTTCAATTTATTTTACGCCTAAGTACATGTATGAGTGTGCAGCATTATAGTACAATTATAAATTTGTCTAACTAGAAAGATGTTCAGTAAGACTTACTCTCAGGAATGTGTGCTTTGTTCTATATGTACATAGAATTGTGGTGTAAATTCTGCCCTGCCCTGTTCCTAGGTAAGGTATAGAAAGAACTTGAAGGAGAAAGAAATCTGGGAAAGCTAAACACACTAATTTTCTGCAAAGTTGATTGTTTTACTGCTGCAGAGCAGGGGTGGGGAATCAAGAGGGGGGTAATTGACTGTGTAGGAGTATACCTCTGCCATAACCAATCACTGAACCAGCAAAAAAAAATGCTGTTTCTCATTCCATGGACGCATACATGTAAAGTTTCTTGGGACGAAAAAGAAAAGAAAAAAAGAGGGTTCAGAATGAACCAAGAGGTTCTCTTCTGCAGATAAATAGTCACCTTATACTTCTGCCTATGGCCAGAATTTGATCAGGGTTATGACATTACCTTCCATTACCTCTTCTCTTTTATATTGATCAAAAAGTTTTGATTCTACATAAGTGAATGAATGAACAAAAACAAATCAGACATTAAAATATACAGAAACCAGTGGGTGATATTGCAATCTGCCTTGCTTTCACCAAGTATATTTCATAGTTTGAGTCAAGATTGTTGCTGCTTCTTAATGGAGCATTACTGCAGTTTGTATTTACATTTGCATCCTGGCCACCAGCTTCAGATGCACACATTCAAAACATTGCTAAAGCAGAGGAATAGAACCATGGTAAGGCCACCACAACTTAGTCTGTCCCTGCCCGACATTCCCCAAGTCTTGCCAGCTGCAGTGTAGATAATCCAGGTAGGCAAAGCTGGCAGATTTACTCCCACAGTCTTACTTAACCAGGTGTCAGTGAGATAGGCCAGACCAGCATTATTCATCCTATATGGCAGGTTTCATATCAGTCACCAATCTGGCATTCAGCAGAAGTACCTTTAACCCAAGGGACTGGTCACCAAGCCTACTGAGGACCTTGGAATTCTCAGTAACATTCAGAGTTTGTTCCATTGTATTATAAGCTGCCTGGGAAGGCCTTGGCAGTTATAGGCGGCCTATAAATAGGTGTTTAAATAAATTTGTTTAAGAGTTTTTGATAGAATCTTGCTTCCTAGTACTCATGGGGCCAATTCTACCTGGATGTAGAAATGACAATTCACACATAGGTTGCAGTTATGATGCACCAAAATTGTTGGATAGAGCTGGCAAGTTATACTGCATTTTATGTGGAACATGACCTTGGACTCAGTGAAATAGCTTGCAAAAGATTTCTGTTTGGGTACATGAGGGAAATGGTTTTCTCTGAGACAAATGTGACAGGAAAAGTGGGATCCTGTAATCTCCAGAATAAAATGGAATATTGTATTAGAAAAGAGTTACAAGAAATGACGCTAAGGCTGGTTGGACCCCAGGTTAGTCCTGGAGCCGAGATGCACACCACCATGAGGGATACCTAAGCAGAAAGGATGAACATTAAATGCCATAAACTGTTAGGCAATTAAAGAGATCAAAAAGGACAGTAGTTAAATGAAACCAAAGCTTAAGGAAGCTTTTCCCCTTTGACTGATCTACATCTCGTGGGTTATACAATGCTGCATTGAACACTATTAAAAACAAAAGGCGTCATTAATGGTATTCAGGTAGAGCTTGTTGACCTATGTGGGAGATGGTGCAGCCTCAGGCTTGGCCCATTTTTCTTGCCAGAACTTTGGATTGACCAATTCGAAGATCCTGTTATGGGTTAGTGAGTTGGGTGGCAGTTTGGCAGTTAAGCAGACATGGCTACAAGGAATAACCAAAGAAGAAGCATGTATGCTTCATGACTCCTGTGAGTTCAGAGTCTAAGCAACATTCCTGACAGCTTTTCTATGCATTCCAGAACCGAATGAAGTCTTGAGTCAAGGTGTCATGGTAATGCCAATCAAATACATAGCATACAAATCTGTGTCAAAGAGCCAGTTTATCTGAAACTTCTCTGTAACAGTATATTTCCTCCATTATCAGAGGCATCATGCCTCGATACAGTTAATGTGCAAAATGCGGGCTTTCCAGAGACATTGGTTGACCACTATGGATATAGAGTGTGGTTCCAGTTAAGCCCTTGGTCTAGTCCAAGATAGCTCATATGTTCTTACAATTGGTGTTAATGTTTGCCATCAGAATAGAGACATACAAGTAATCTGAATGTTCTAAATATAGTGAAAAGTACTTGCAATAAAAAGTAGTGTTTACATTCCCATAGAAATTAAAATAGAACAGAACCAGGGATGTTTATACTGCACCAAGTCTTCAAGACTTTCAAGTAGCAAACTATCCTTAAAAATCCTGGAAATATGGCAAGGAAGAGTACCCAAATTGTTTTGGTAAAATACTTTTCTCATGTTTGGTGTCCAAGTATGGACAAAATATCTGAACTCACTTGGATAGTACATATGTATCTGCTTAGATGTGTGCTCTAATATGTGGTCTAGTAACAAGCTCTCTCCTTTTCTTCCAGAGTGTCTCATATACAGAAGGGTTAAGAACTCCTGGGCCTAATGCATGTACATATGCCTCCTTTCATTCGGATAATGTGTTATCTACAAATCTTCCCAGCTTGCCCACTTTCCCAGAGAGCAGTCCATTGTTTTTGGAGTCCAGAATATCACATACAAGGAGCTTGTCAACAGAAGGAAGTAGTGGGATACCAGAAGAAACAGGCAAGAAAGTGGTACAACAGCCTGGATCACCAATGCTCCAGTCATTCCAAGGTGTTGGGTTTTGTAATGTTGCAGAAAACTGCAGCCCCATTTGTGCTGCTATTGAAAGTAGCTGTGGTTTAGATGTAGCAGTAGAAAAGTGTGGCAAAGAAGGTGAAGTTGTGTATAAAAATGACAATGATGTGGATGATTTTACCACAGGTAAGGCTGCTAAACTGCATCAGCCTCCCTGTAGGAGTACCCCTCTTGTTAAACTGGTTAATTCCGCACTTCACGTTTCAGAAGAGTTTATTGATGATGATCCAGCAGAAATCTCTTTTTTTGCTGGAGGATCTGAAGCATTTTCTTACTTGTATGGTAGTTTAGATTTACAGGAGTCAGAGCTATCTAAGTGCCTCTCAGAATCACCTGCTTTAACTAAAGAAATTCTGCAACAAAATATGGCATCTTCCCATTCAAGTCCTGATAGATATTCCATAGAAGCAGTAGATATGAACATAGATGATGAGTTTGAATTTGAAGGAGGGAGTGATTTTAATGGGAATGAGCAGCCATCAGATACCTCAGAATTATTTGAAGTTAAAGCTCAGGCAAGTAGAATGCAAAGTCTTTTGAGTCCGTCTGATACTAGCTCACTAATTAACAACCAGTCTGAAAGTAGTTCTCTCAACAATTTGACACTAAATGGTACGCCATTTTTGCACACTTACAGCTCTGCTAATCATTCTGAAGCTAGTTCTATGGTGAATTTTCCGGCATATTCAGTTCGCTCTGAGTCGAGCTCAGCTTTTCAGTTCACTGATATTATTGACCAGTTGGAACAGCTGAGCTATCCTCCTACCACCACAGAAGACTCCAGTAGTTCTGATGACTCATGGGATTCAGAAACTGCAGCCCCATTAGATATAAACCTTTTTTTTAGCAATCCCTTTGCTCAAGCAACTGGAGAGCATTTCAGTCTTGATTTTCAGAATAATCTGAAGAATTGTTCCCAAGAAGACAACACAGAAAACACAAGCACAAACACAAACCATTAATATTTGGTTTATAAGGCATATTAAATTAGGCTATCTAGAATCAGGTATTTTAAAGTGGAATGTAGACTATTTCTGACCTGATTCTTTTCATTAATTAACTTTTTAAAATGGCATTCTGTAGCTGACCCTTTTTGATCCTCGTACTTCTGATTTTTCTTCAGAGCATCATAAAAAAGTTGCTAAGTTGATATGTAGGCATCAATGATATAAAAAAGCCACTGTGCGTATCCTAAGGTAATATACTAATGCAGTAAATGTTTTTATTCTTAGATAATCTGTGGCAAGGGCTGTGCACCGCAGCTGACATGTTTTCATCTGGTTTTGTTGAACTAAAATCTAGTCAATACCATCTGACAGTGGCCTAAGGGTTGATACTTAGCTGGCAACAAATACAAGTAGTTTTTCTGCAGAGGTGCATTTTTGGAATCTAGATGGATATAAGCTGAGCAGACGAGACTTTGAAAAAGATCAAATTTAAGAAAAATCTTGCATAGTTCCAAAAATAAAAATTGAACTGATATTTTAGGGAGTATGCATACATGTGCCCATTGAATGTAGGGCATTACTCTGATTTCAGAATGTAGGCACATTTTACTAATAACAAACCTCTTACTGTTTTGCGGCAGTTGGGCAGTAAATATCTTGAAAGGGCACTTGGCTCTTTTTTATGCTTTCTCTTAGCTATTTTAGATAATTTAATCAGTTACACTGCAGAAAGAAGCCCGTTACTTAAACAAATCTACATAAAGGTTTGTTTGATAGAGAAAAATGCTTGTTGCAACTTTTATTATAAAGTTGCGCTGCTTCAAAGAAATGACCTTTATGAATGTTGGAACAATGTGAATGCATGCTCCAGTCTGAAGGCTGCATATAACATGATTAATATGCAAAGTGATACTGTATAATGGTAGTAGAGAGTTGGAAAACTTAGTTGTCCCAGTTCTCCTGATAAACATGTGAGAATGGGGTGCCAACCCTTGTACAAGATAAAAACTAAAATACTGTTTCAGCTTTGTCTGAAAGGATTATGTCTTGAAGTAATTAGTTAGGCTTGTGTTTCTTTGTGGTATAATTTTCTAACAATGTTTGTATAAAAGGAGAGTGCAATATATGAATGTATCACATTTCTTTTAAAATAAGCAGAGCGTTGCTAGTTTGTATACTCTGTAATAACTGTGTTTATAATAGCTCTGGATTCCTTATCATACTTAAAAAAAACCTGTTTAGGCTTCCTGACCAAATTTTAATTAGATTAGCCTTATCAATATGCAGCTCAGATTAATGGAGTGATTATCTTTTGCTGTCTGTTAGTTTGCTTTTAAAAAATACTTCATTTGTTCTCACTAATACTTGTAATAACTGCTAAGATATGCTTCTTATATTGTGTTTGAGATATTTTTATCAGCAAATCCTATATTAATTTGGGATGATGGCATCCTAATGACATACCATAAAGTGCAATTTTGGCTGTTTCATTTCTTTCACTATCGCATAGGAAAATAGACTTTGCACATGGCTTTCCGTAATTAATATGAATCTTAGATTTAATTGTTCAGTTGGTTCTTTTATAGCTGTGGTGGTAATGCCATCAAAGTGCCAAATGCTTTATTATAAGATGAACACTTTAAAAAAGATGCCATTAGACACTATTGCTAGTCATATAACTGCATGCCAAATGGAAATGCTTTGCTTGAATAAATGCATACATTTCTGGTGATGAAGGCTAGGAGTTGAATGTGAACTGTTGACTTTGATGGTACATTCTTAATTTCTAAAAATAGCTCCTGCTACTACATAGTTATATGAGAAAGCCACAGCTCTCAACCAATTCCTGCACTTGTATTTCTTTTTAAAGATAACAGATTTTAACACAAGCTGGGAGGAAAATTGGAAAAGGACAGTATTTTCAGCCCCTGCTAGGAAGTGTGCAAGTGACCTGCATTTGAGCAGTCTCATACTTAATAAGAGAAGTCTTGAAAAAATAGGGATGTCATGTACTGCCCCAAAATAAAATGGATATGGTTATTCAGTCTTACCAATTGAACCAAACAATTTTGCAAGCAATCTTCAAAAACAAAAACAAAAAACACAGAAAAGTAGCTCTTATTCTAAGTTCAAATGTGAATCTGCAAACACAAGCCTTCCCTGTGTGAAGAAATATATTATCTATTTCGCATAACCCCCTTGTTATGAGACATGAACTGCTTTCCCCTATGAACTTATTGCATTTAACACTTTGGAATAAAAATATTTTTTACTGTTAAGATACTGATTTTTTACATGCCCCGTATGAGCCAGAAACTAGTGTTTGAGCCTTTAAGTTTTACATGTCAAATTGTTAGTGAGATCTGATTCAAAAATAGAAGTTTCACACTTTGGTTATCATATATCTGATCTGGTAAGGTTATGTTGCTTAAAACCAATTCTGATATGCAGCTCTGGAAGGAAATATACTGGACAAATTTCTTTCCTCTCTAGCTTTATTAAATAATTTGCAATGTAGGTAGCTGAGTGAGCACTTAAATGCTGAACTGGGTATTGCAATGAGCTAGAGGCTCACACTAACCCTTTCATGGATTGCCTTAAACTTACACGGCAATATAAAAAGGTGTTCCTTTTATTATGTTTCAGAGAAGAAAAGGGAATCCCTTGTACGTTTTTAGTTCTCATAAAGTATTCTGCTTTTTTCTAAGGAAATTATCAGAGCTCAAGTGCTGTTTGTCCAGTCTTAAGCCAGCTATGTCACAGATGCATTTTTGTATCCTAGTAGCATCTTGCCACATTCTGGGTGCTTGATTATTGCGAAGTCATGCTTCAAGTGCACCTGTTGAAACCAATGGGGATCAAATGATTGAATGACATGTCCCACTGATTTCAGTGGTTGTACACAAAACATGTCAAAATCTGCACTCAACCTATAATGCTTTTTCTAAACTTAAATTTGAGAAATTTTGAAAGTGTTAAAAACTTATTTTTTGAGAAAAGTGTATCAAGAATTGTAGTTGTTTTTTAAAGTTGCATGTGAGTAGCTGTTTATGGTAAATGGCAGCTGATTGCTTCAAGAACACCAATCAGGCAACAGAAAAATCACAGTCTTTCTCTGATGTGAAGACACATGAGGTAGCCAGGAGACATGAAAGATTAGTACATAATATTAGTTTCCATAGTAACAGCCTTACATATGCATTTTACTCCATTATACACTGGTAAAGTATTTGACTGCACTTTGTGTTACAGGTAGTATCAAATACTTCAGAGTTTAAGCAGATATACTCAAAATATTTTCTAACTTCAGTCAATTCGTTTTCATTCAAACATAATTATTTTGACCCAGTTCAAAGTATATGAAGAGCTGATTTGTGGAATATGAGTGAGTGTTCTGCATTTTTACAGTTGCAGTTAAGCTTTGGCAGAGGTAACACCACTTCTGGTAATCTATCCTTTGAAAAATCAAATATAAAATTAATTATTAATCTCATTTTCTAGTAATCATTTATCACTTGAATTGAGTAGTGCGATACTTTGTATTCAGGTACTTAAACACTAATAACTTCCTATCAGATATAGTCGTATAGGAGAGGATATTATATGAAATCCTGTTGGTAATTCATTCTCATTATTGTCATTTTGTGAAATCTTAATATTTCAGGTATTGCATACTAGAGCTAAGCTTTCATAACAAAAGCCTTAATAGGGATTCCCATATTGATTACTTATTCTTTTATATTAAACCTGATTCCCAATGAATGCAGCATATATAATTGTGTGCACATGTGGAACTTTTTGTAGTTCTTTACCTATAACTGTAGCTAAATCACTCACACCTTATTTATGGGACATTAGAGGGTTCCTCCACTTAGTAATGAGGAATATTCCTGGTTGTTTTATCAGCAATGAAAATGAATATGGGTACAATCATAATAAACATTTTGCAAAACTTTCATATTAAGTGTCAGGTTATAATGTCAGCATGTGGGGCACATAAAATGCAGGCTCTTTATATAGGCAACAAAG